GGCAGCAGAGCAGCATCCCTGGGGAGCAGGGAGATGCCAGAGTCCCTGTCCGGGGCTGTTTCTGTTTGATGTGGCTGCGTTTGGAGCTCCTGGAGCAGAGTGGGGGTGTGGCTGCGTGTTTAACCTTGGCAAGGCTGCCGAGCAGGAGCTCCCATCTGCGGGAGAGGGCTAATTACACACGATAGTGTCTCCAAGCAGGGAGAAATGAAAGATGAATGGCTTCTTGCAGCAGGGGATGAAGCTGTGGCTGGAGCCGCTGGCGCTGCAGGCAGGGCAGACTCTGGTTCCTCACGGATGTCTGTGCTCCTGGGGTCTCTCCTGAGGGGCTGGCAGCCCAAAGCCCCCTCCCGTGTGTGCCTGAGCCACAGCCAGGTCTGTCTGACCCCAGCGAGGCCTCCAGGACCCAGAGTCAGCCCGTGTAATGTGTTCCAGTTGGCAAACCTAATTACAGCTGGAGCTATTAGAAGAATGCGTAATTATTTAAATTGTAGGCAAAATAATCATTAAAATGACCTTCTTTGCATGATGCTGTTAAAGGTCATCTAATCAGGATGTGTTAATAAAGATCAGAGTCGCTCTGGGAAGGTAACGGGCCAGTGTAGCTACATTTCAATTTTGTGTGTAAATTGTCCCTGTTTGTGCCTTGGGGAGAGGACTTGAGGAAGGATTCCAGGAGGGGTTTCTCCATGGAAAGGGCTCCATGCTGTGCCCCCAGGCCCCTCTGACCCTGAGCACAGGGCCCTGGTCCCTGCTCACAGCCCCTGATCCCTCTCACAGCTCCTGATCCCTGCCCACATTTCCCAGTCCCTGCTCACATCTCCCAGTCCCTGCTCACATCTCCCAGTCCCTGCCCACATTTCCCAGTCCCTGCCCACATTTCCCAGTCCCTGCTCACATTTCCCAGTTCCTGCTCACAGCTCCTGACCCCTGCCCACATTTCCCAGTCCCTGCCCACAGCTCCCATCCTGGCCGGTGCTTTGGCCAGTCCTCCCAGCCTCGCTGCAGCTTGCTGCTTTCTGTTGTCCTGCTAATTAACTTCTCCACTCCTGTGCTGTGCCATCTGCCCCTGGCGCCAGGGCACCTGCTGGCTGCCCTGGCAGCTCCCGTGGGATGAAGATGTCTCTGCCCTGCTCCCCACCAGCTCCTTCTGCTCCTGCCCAGCCCTTCCTCCTGCCGGGCTGCCCCGGCTTCAGCCCTGCCAGGGAGCAGCTCTCCCTCCTGCCTGGGGCTGGCAGGGAGCTGTGCCCAGCTGGGCCGGGTGGCTCCGTGCCCGTCCCGTGGCTCTGCAGGGCCAGGCCTGGCCTGAGCTGCTCTGAGTGCACAGCTCAGTGTTCTGTCAAAGGCTGCACGTGTGGCTGCAGAGGTTCCAGACACCCTTGGCTGTCCACGTGGGCCCAGCTGCCCCTTCCCGGGGCTCTGCCTCAGATTTGGGCGTTTGGAGCTCCAGTGCTCTGGGAGATTGGTGGCAGGGACACCTTGCACTGCCCCAAACCCTGTCCTTGGGCACTGCCAGGGATCCAGTACAGCCCCAGCTGCTCTGGGCACCTGTGCCAGGGCCTGCCCACCTGCCAGGGAGGAATTTTTCTTATTTAGACAAGGAAACAGGAGAAAATTCAGATGGAATTAGGGATGGGATATTGCAGGGAGTGCTGGCTCTGCAGTGGGAAGGGAAGGGAAGGGAAGGGAAGGGAAGGGAAGGGAAGGGAAGGGAAGGGAAGGGAAGGGAAGGGAAGGGCCATGCTCTGGCTCTGCTCATGGTGTTTTCCAGCTCTGCTCCAAAGAAGGCTGTTCCTGCCCCGTTCTCCAGGGTGGCTCAGCACTGCTGGGGGAGGAGAAGAGCCTTTTCTTTTCTTGGCAAACTTCTTTTTAACCATTCTTGTTTTAAGTCTCAGCATCTGCATACGCAGTGTGCTCGTCAGTCCTGTCTCTGTGGTACAAAAATAGTCTCTTTGTACAGCCTAGCTCAGAAATGATCCCCAGAACTGCCAGTTTCTGGCGCTTTCTGAGGCGCTGGTCAAGGTGACACGAGCCCCTCTCAGCCGGAGGCAGCAGCCAGAGGCAGCAGCCCTTCCCCTCCAGGCCTGGCTCTGCAGCAGGCTGCAGGCTGGGCTCTGCCCGTGGTGTGGGGCAGGCTGGGAGCCGGGCTGAGCCCTGCTCTGGGCTCTCTGCCCGGGAGCCCAGCCTGCCTCGCCACTTGGCTTTTCCAGCTCCAGCTTCTGGAACTCTGGGCTCAGTGGGAGCTCAGCATCCCTCGCAGGGGGTGGGAATTGTCTCCTTTCACACGAAGCTTGTGGTTTTATGAATGACTGACGCTCTCGCTCGCCTGCGCTGCTGGGAGGGAGCGCGGCAGCTCGGGGGCGACGCCTGCCTTGGGTGTCACATGTGGCACTGGCTGCTGCCCCCGTGTCCCCTGCCCCATGTCCCTAGCCCCATGTCCCCAGCCCCGTGTCCCCTGCCCCATGTCCCCTGCCCCGTGTCCCCTGCCCTGTGTCCCCTGCCCTGTGTCCCTGTGTCCCCTGCCCCATGTCCCCGTGTCCCCTGCCCCATGTCCCCTGCCCCGTGTCCCCAGCCCGTGTCCCCTGCCCCGTGTCCCTGTGTCCCCTGCCCCGTGTCCCCATGTCCCCAGCCCCGTGTCCCCGTGTCCCGGCTGCAGCCCGTGCTGAGCCCTGGCACGGCACACACCAAGCTCAAGGAAGCTCTCCTGGCTTCCCTCTCCAGGTGCCACTGGGGTTATCTGTGGTGCTGAGCACTACAGCAGAATGCTGGTGATTAATGCAGCTGGAAGCTCCAATGCAACAGCGCTGGGAAATTAATTTCAGGGGGATGGAATGTGTTGGCCGTGATGTTACAGCTCGCTTCTGATTCCACTCTTTATTTATTTACTCGGCTCGCAGTGCCCTGGAAAGGTGTCTTTGCTAATGCCTGGGCAGCTTTCCAGGCCACTAAAAAGCTGCTCAGCTCGAGTGACAGAGCCAGGAGCAGAGCCTCATCCCTAACCCTTAAACAATTAAGGTGAGATGAAAGCAAGCTGCTCCTGCTGGAGCCTTTGCTGCTCCGGGGGTGAGCCCCAGCAGCTCCCTCTGCCAGCCCCGCTGCTCCCGAGGCTCTCCTGGGCTCCAGGACTGTCCTCTCCTGCACACAACATGCCCACAAAGGCCAAACCTCACTCTGCCTCAGTGTTCTGTTCCAGTTTCACTGTGAGAAGCTGTTTCTTCTGGAAGTTTTCTCTGGCACAGGTGCCCAGAGCAGCTGTGGCTGTCCAGGATCCCTGGCAGTGCCCAAGGCCAGGCTGGACAGGGCTTGGAGCAGCCTGGGACAGTGGGAGATGTCCCTGCCATGGCAGAGGTGGCACTGGATGGGATTTAAGGTCCCTCCCAACCCATTCTGTGATTTGGGTTTGTTTGGCTCTAGCTCCTGTTGAGCCTTGCTGGAGGCCAGCACTCTGCCCAGGGCCTGCACAAGGGATGAAGGGATAAACTGAGCTCTGCTGGGCCTGCACCTTCTGCTGCTGGGCAAAAATCTACCCTTGCTTTTAAGAAAGCTTAAAAAAAAGTATCCCTAAGCAGCTTGAGTGCCTGGGAGTGTGAGGGGAGGGCTGGCACCAGAGCACAAGAGATGTTTCCTGGGCAGGCTTAATATAGATGGAATCATGGGTGGTTTTTCCTGCTCCGCGTGGAAGCTGGGCACTGTCCAGCCCTTCTGTGCCCACCAATTTCACCTGGTGCTTTCCATGCTAAGAGCGAATTATTGAAAACCAGCGAATCCTCAGCCAAGCCAGTGCATTGCTTTTTCATTGTTATGGCAACACAGATGAAGAGGAATAAATCTGGATCCTGGTGGTTGTGGAAAAGGTCCCCACGGGTCGGTGGCAGTGCCTGGAGTCCATTAGCAGCACCTCCGGAGCCAGCTGGCACTGAATGGGAGAGCAGGGCTGCCCTGCCAGCCTCTGCTGCCAGTTCACCATCTTTGTCCTTTGTTTTTTTGTTTTCCTCCCAGGATCCCCGGAGCAAACACAAATTTAAAATCCACACGTACTCCAGCCCCACCTTCTGTGACCACTGCGGCTCCCTGCTCTACGGGCTCATTCACCAGGGGATGAAGTGTGACAGTAAGTGCCCCGGGAGGGGGCTCGGGCACCCCAGGGGGCTCACAGGGCCCCTCTGCCAGCGGGAGAGGCTGCGGGGCTCCGAGGGCACCGGGGGCACCAGTGGCACCTCCCCACCCGGCCTGGGGCTGCTGCAGGGAGAGGCGAGGGAAAGGGGCTGGCCTGGGGGGAGGCTCCCCCATCCCCGTGCAGCAGCGTGC